TCGGCCACTGAAACGACTTTCTGACGTTTTATCCTGCAGGCAGCGGCTAATTGACTGCTCGGCTAATTACGCGTATTCCCCCAGTAGTGCAAGCTGAGGAAACTTTTCACTGCTATAGCAGTTTGCTATATATAATATAATATAATAATATATCATATTGCTGCTGCATTTACCCTCAGGAGGACTTGTATTTCTATACCGTTGTTCCGATTCCCATTTATAAAGCTAAACACAAACTGAGATAATTACCGATCATTCCTTGTTCTGCAGCTCGGCAACCTTGCCCATCACCCTGAAGTGTCTCCTGGAAAACAACGGAATAGACAGACGCGTGGCACGATTCGTCCTCCCCGTCGGCGCCACCATCAACATGGATGGCACGGCACTGTACGAAGCGGTCGCTGCTATTTTTATTGCCCAGGTCAATGAGTATGACTTGGATTTGGGACAAATTATAACGATAAGGTAAACATTTCTTTGCAGCAGCCGAATTATTTCTCTCTATTCGCGGTCTCAGACTTTTCCCCTTTGGCAGAGATCTTGCTACTGCACAGAGCGAACTTTGCTGGAAGAGTGAGGAGCAGGGACGGGTGCGGCGCGTGCCGGCCCCTCCAGGGAAAGCTCCGGCTCCGCACCTACAGAATTTGGTGCAGAATCAAAGACTTTGTAGGTAAAAGCCAGATTGTGAGCTAAGAGCATGGCTAGAGCAGGTCAAGACCTGCAGCGCGGAGGGATGATCTCAGCGCAGAAGGGTTTGTGCAGGTCCAATTTACTCCCCTTCGGGAATGGAATATCCTCACTTTCTGAGAGGGAAATCAAGCACCTATCTAGACAAAAATAAGTAAGTACAGCTGCAAATATTTAGCAATTTTATGCAGGGGCTGCCTATGCTGGAACGCAGAGGGGTGTTGTGTAAGGGGTACCGGCTGCAAGCCCTCGGCCGTACCGTGCACAGGCAGGGCCTCGGGATAGCGTCAGGGAGCGGGAAGGTGGAGGAAGCCAGATCCGATCCAATCCTTCCATACAGGAATAACTAACTTTGCCATGCAAACATGCTTCTTTTTTTTTTTTAAAAAAAAACAAACAACAAAACAAAACACAAAAAAACCCCAACCCACCCACAAAACACAGTAATGGCGCAGCCACCTTCTCTTTGCAGCATAACAGCAACAGCAGCGAGCATAGGGGCTGCCGGGATCCCCCAGTCCGGACTCGTTACGATGGTCATCGTGCTGACTTCTGTTGGGCTGCCGACCGACGACATCACACTCATCATCGCCATCGACTGGGCTCTGTAAGTATTTCCCAGACGCAACGTTACGTTGCCGATTCACGCTGACGTACCTAAGCAGCTCTCACGGAGGCAAACAGAGATTAAGCGATCACAGAACAAGGCCGGGATCTTTCTTGCACATAAAAGGGAGTTTAACTTTTCAGGTGAAACTTGTAAAACCTGAACACAACGCGAGTTCAGTCTTTGAGCATCGCAGGGTACCCAGCGCCATCACGTGCCGCAACCTGCTGGCACTTTCTGCTGATGCGAGAGGCGCTTAGATAAACGAGAGAGGTGCTGCGGATGGATCAACACGATTTCCTCCCCGAGAGGCACCTCAAGGAGTGTCACGACTCGCTGAGGCAGCTCACCCCCACACCGAGCAAAAATTACGATGATGCCTCAGTCTGGGAAGTAGCGCGGCACTGGAAAGAGAAGCACGGTGAGACAAAAGAAGCCCCGTTGCCTTCATGGCTGAGGCTCAGACACCACACAAGCCGTTTTCTATTTGTGAGAACAATGCCGCGCTTGTCTCAACCTGCTGTTAGCAAAACAGAGGTAGAGACGTTAGGGGTGGAGGTCGACCATGTTTCAAAACCATAGAGGACCCCGGGCAGGTCGGCTGTGGCCACCAACTGTATCCTCACGGCTCTCTCTCGTCTAGGGACCGATTTCGAACTATGACCAACGTCCTTGGCGATGCTCTGGCTGCTGGCATCATAGCACATGTCTGTGAGAAAGACTTTGCCCCAAAGCCCCCCACGGTACGTACGGCTTGTCTGGGAGAGCAGGAGATATAATACTATGTGGACAGAATGCGTGTGCTCGCTTAAGAAATTAAAACTGTATTTTTTTTTTTCCTTTTTGCAGCAAGATCCAGTAAGCAACACGGACAAACTTCCTTCTGTGGAGACCTCACATCTGCATCCCAAAGATAACGTGATTGAAATGATTGAAGAAACTTTGTTCGATCAGACAGGAGTTCATTATAACATCTGTCAGGTGTAGATCACGGCGTTCCTGCTCCCGGGAATGGGACCTTGGTGCTAAACACTGACGCTGTGAATGTCGTACGTGGATGCTCTGCAGGATAAAGGCCTTACTTGGCACCAAAAATGGAAAAAATCCTCTCCAGACTTTGAAGAGTGCAGGATGCTCCAGCAAGCACCCAGACAGCACGGCTCTGGCACTCGGGGCAAGGGGGCCAGCTCCTCCCGCAGCCGGGGTTCGAGGGGCGCACGCCTCGCGGGTTTTCAAGCCCAGTTTCTTTTTGAAGGTTAGGGAGGTGAGCAGGTATTAGAAAACTGGAACTGGATTAGAGGAGAAAGCAGTAGAGATGGGACAAAAATCTGACACCTTATCTGCTGGCCAGGCTGCACTCTATCGGGTTTTCTTTTCTTTATTATGGAGATTATTTTTTTTAAATCATTGTGGGGTTTGTTTGGTTTTTTTATTACTAGGGTCTCATCTAAAAATCAAGAGTAAGTGAATTTTTCTCTCGAGCTCAAAATCGAAGTTGGACATAACTGGATTTTCCAGCTGTCACACAGGGACAGGGCAGCTGGTTGAAGCGTTTCACTCTCGGCACGGACAGTGAGACTCATTTCAACTGCAGGGACCAGCTGTACACACGTTTTTACTGGCTGGTTTATTACAGTGAAACTAATTGACCCGGCCCAATTGCAATTGCATTGCTTTTCCCAGCTAAGGATCCATCCCTAAGTTTGAATTCCAATTACAGCCTTAAAATCCAGGCTTCCCTGGGCAGCCTTGTCCACAAAAGCCTTTTATGTCAATGCTTCATGTCGCTGCGCTCATTTCTCTCTCGAAATGCCGTCTCCTCCCTTTGCTCCCTCTTGCTTTGTCTTTACGGCCACAGCGTTGGCTCATGGAAGCGGCTTCAACTCCCACTAACATCGCTCGACTGTTCTCCAATTCCAGATTACGAAAAAATTCCCTGTGCACAATCCTTTCACGCTGGAGCCAAAGGTTTTAAAATATTTTCTAATTTAGAGGAAACATTAATTCCGCTTTTGCCAAATGAAAAGCAGAAGTTATTAAATATCATAAGCCAGCTTTTGCACAAAAACAAACTTCAAAAAGCCTTCGAAGAATCAGAATCACGGTCAAGGTAAGCTTGAGGCACTGCTGTCAACTCTGGCCTTTCTTACCTGTTCCTCCTAGGTTGGTTTTTCTTTTTTTTTTTAAAAACCTTCTTAAACGTTACTGTCCACCTCTTCTTCAACAGGAGCAGCTGTGATTACTTCTCTTTTCGCAAACACCACATTTCGATCCGAGAGATCTCCGCAGCATCCCAGGTCATCCCTCGTTGATCACCAGCCGGATGCGTCACACGCATCAGCGTTCAGCACTGCTGCTCTGCAAACCCGACGGCTGCGGGTTGTTCCTCTACACCCGGAGCAAGCTGGGGCACACCATACCCCCCCCCCCCCAAAAAAAAAAAAAATTAAAAGGGGAGACGTTGGTGAAGGCTGGGGGGGGCTCCAGGCAGCTCTGGGGCAGGGACCCCAGCCAAGCGTCCGTCTGCTCCAGTCATCCGCATCCCCCCAAAGCGCAGATGGAGAAACGGACGCTTTCGCAGCGCGTTGGTCCGAGGGAGTCAACCGCAAACAGGCGGGATAAAAAGGATGGTTTCTCAGACCGGTTTAGACGCCTGATTTGCGGCGCGGTAACTGGTGCCCGAGCGCCCACGTCCCTCGCCGGCTGCCCAAGGCCACCCAGCACGCGCACCAGCACCAAAGGACAGCCGAGAGCAATCCTGCTTTTCGCATATATTCCCCTCTCATCAATGAGCTCCGGACATTACAACACAGAATCTTAATCCTGCAATAAAAGACGGGACTGACTGTCCACGACAGATGTCCTGAGGTCAGCGGCGGGGATGTCCACGGTCTCCGGGCAATCGCTCACGGCACTGGGGTCTGCCTTCTGCGGAGCAGCCGGATTTCCTCCCCTGCCTCCGGAGGCTGCGGTCCCGCTGCTAACGGCTTAAAACCAGCGCATCCTCGAGCTCACTGCAACTGGAAGAACAAAGCGTTACTGACAAAACGGAATGTTTAATCTCAGGAATAAATCTAAAGCTGGTGAAGTAAACAACTCTGCGCAGCTTGGCTCAGGGGTTGCAAGTACTGTGGTTTATCAAGCGTTGATTACATCTCCTCGTATCTGGTGAGATCCATTTTAGCAGAGTTTTGATTTGTGAAATCAGCAACAAGGATGTTGTTCTAGTAAGGTTAAAAAAAAAAAAAAAAAAAAAAAAAAGGAGTGTGTCAGGGACAATACAGCCTTGTACCTTATGACAAATACAGCGAGAGCGAGCTTTAACCACTCAGCAGTCTCAAAACTGGGTCTGTAATCACTTCAACCCTCTAACAGGATTAAAAAAAAAAAAAAGGAAAAAAAATTAATTCAAATGCTTCTGAAAGTCTCTTTGTGGTCTGGTAAAAAGCGAAGGCATCAGTATTGATGTGCAAAAGCCAAAGGCAGCAAGGACAATCCATCATTTCCGGCGCTGCCAACAGGCACAGAAGAGGCAGCTTAATGACTTTTAACAGGAATAAAAAATTGTGGAAAAGTTAAAGTAGCATATTTACTGAATGCCCGAGTTAGGGGGCTGGTAAGGCATCCGCTGTCTCAGCAGATGTCCTTGGGGTGGTCCCATCCCAACCCCACCTGTATTTTCAATCATCTGCTGCCAGGGGGAACATTTACACCAGTTTGTATCTGCTGCTCGGCGGGGAACAGCAGCCTCCGTTTGCCAAAGGTGAAAGCAGGCAGGCACCCACCTAACCCCCAAATGTCACCAGGACTCGATGGACCCAGAGTAATGAAAACTTACTAGTGGTTGAGGGACAAGAGATTTCCAGAAGAGATTTCCAGAAGACAAGAAAGTAGCACAGAGTCTGGACAAAGTCACTGGGCATCACCTGAAGGAGTTTTGATTCCGTCCCGACTATCCCCGGACTGGAGGGAGGCAAAGTAACGTCGCTCCGTGCCAGGCAAATCGAGGCATCTTGCTTAGCAAATTGAAAACTACCTATTCAGCCTCAAAAAAGGTCAAATAGAATTAAATCCTACTGATTGATACACTGCACCTTCATTGTATTTCAGACTATTTTCCCAGACGTACAGGCAGTGCAAGGCGCACGTACTACACAGATGCTGAGACTCGGTGTACAGAAAGAACACGAGCTCCAAACCTTGTTCCTTGGAAATCCTTGTTTTCCTTACAAATACAAAAATCCCAGCTGACACTGCGATACAGATGCTCCCCAGATCACGGCTTGTGTGTATAATAATGTAATAAAGTTGGAGAGCAACCAGAGGAAGGAACTTGGTTGTTACACAAGTCGTATTTCCACCGAGAAAAAAAAAAATTAAAAAAATCACAGAAAGCTACTTCCATAAACTAAATCCCTGTGAATGATATTTATGGAGTTTGTGGTTATTAAACAAAAGGAAAAGCAGCAGCAGCCCTTGGCTTTACGGCCCCTCCTAAATCCTGGCAGAAAATCCACCCCTTGGGCCATACGAGCTTCAGTTAGGGAATGACATTTCACCAATTTTGGCAAACTTGAGGACGAGATTCGCCATCACCAGTGAGCTGAAACGAATTTGCATCAAACTGACCCTTCGGCTCGAGTGTGAGCTTTACAGCAGACACAACCAGCTCGTGTCTACAGTCCACGACTAAGTGGCCTTGACCTTAAAGAAAGGTCCTTCCCGTGCTGTTAGAGGTCTTCCAGAGCATCAATTATTTTTACAGATCTGAACTTTATAAAAGTGGTGAGTTTTGATCAGGGATTTTCACTTTTATATTATTTTGACATCTTTTTAGGATTTAGAAATCAGAGTGACCATAGCAGCAGTGTAGCATGGTAACGCTGGAAATGGTATAGAGTCAGTAGAGAGCGCTGCTACCTTTCTTTTAGATCAAAATATACTTCGTTTTACGGAAACTGGAAAAAAAGAACAAAATATCATCTTGTAGTATGTGGCAAAATAAATTCAAAACAATAGATGTGAAAACCAGCTGAAACCTCCCATTTTTAAATTTAAAATACTATCAGTTTCAAAATTACTCCACGCAATTTTTCTAGAATAACTTTCTGAAAATTCCATTCCACGAGCAGTTTTGAAAGTCTTTATTTAAATCTATTAGAACACCAAGTTTCTCTTTGAAATCAGATTTCCAAAGCAGCTCTAAACAATACACATGGCTTAACTAGTTTTTTTGTTTGTGGTTTGGTTTTTTTGGTTTGTCGGGGTTTTTTGTTGGGTTTTTTTAATTAGCAGCGGATAACCTACACTGAATGCTCCTTTAAGGAGTAAATGCCTCTCTAGTGAATGTCGCTGGGAGTTGTCCGTCTTTGCCTCTTCCCTTCCGATTCACTGAACGTATTTATTTCCTTAAGGACATTCTCATTTTGTCTGCTGAGCAAATAAAAGCTTTCTGGAAAATCTGAACAAATCACGTTGGCCCTTACCGCAGGCAGGTGCTCCTCACCGCATCGCCCGTCGCTTTCCCCCCACTGGTAAGTCAGCAGATCCTACCGACGACGTAGCGGTGCGAGAGCAAAACAAGACGCAGCACGGCAACGCCTGTGTACATAGTTCTCATTTCCAAACTGTTCCACAACAAAAGTTCAGACCTACTTTATAAATTCTTTATGTCGTGCTCAAACACACCTGCAACTCTGCTGGGCACCCAGGATGCGTGTTCAGATACGCCACGGCCATGCCGAGCAGAGTGCGTTGGTCCTCAGCTATGGTCGGAGCAGAGATGCCTCGTTAGCTTGGATCAAGACAAGCCCAGGCAACTCTGCACCACGTTACATCTCGCCGTGTTTGACATTCTCCGTTTGCAAACTTCCTAGGTTTTCAGCGGGGAGGGGGGAAGCCGAAACGTCCCTGGGTAAGATGCTCCAAAATCCACGTCAGGAGTCAGCTAGTCTCGTGCAAGTGTGGATGTCCTGGTGCCCAGGCGT